AGAGACGAAAAAGACGAGAAAGTAAGTAGGTAGTATAATATACTTTATACTAGTATATATTATTATATATATATATATGATACTTATATATTATCTATATTATAGTATATATATATATATATGTAAATTCATTGTTGACTTTATAACTATCTATATCACGGCTGTATCAATTTAATATATATTAGTATATATATGAGCTATATTAGTATCATATCCAATCTTTATATATATATTAGACGAGAGAGAGAGAGAGAGCTAGACGAGAGAGAGAGACGAGAGAGAGAACGTGAGAGAGATAGAGATGAGAGAGAGAAAGAAAGAAGAAATGAAAGATAGATAGATAGTATGATAGAAAGAGAGACGAGAAGAGCAAGATCGAAGGAGATAGAGAGAGAGAGAGAGAGAGACGAGTAGAGAGAGGAGAGAGAGAGAGACAGAGAGAGGAGAAGAGACGAGAGAGAGAAATAAAGAACAGATAGATAGATAGATAGATAGATAGATAGAAAGAGAAGAGAGAGAGAGAGAGAAGAGAAGAACGAGAGAGAAGAGAGAGAGAAGAGGAGAGAGAGATAAGAGAGAGACGAGAGGATTTAGTGCCTTCGAGAGCAGAGAGAGAGACGAGAGCAGAAGATTTTCTCATGACTCATGTATGGCTTATCTGTAGAAAGGTATACCATATATAAACGCCCGTGTTCATAATACATTACATATATATGTATGTAACTAAAATAGTGTATAGGGGGAAAAATCAATAGGAAAATCAACAATATTCAAGATAATCTATTCATTGAAAAAAACAGAATTGAACAGATAACAGAAAAATATGTGTTCAGTCGAGAATCCAAGCAATATGAACTATTTTCCCATCCCATGAAAAAATAAAGTATTGATATCAGCGAACGGAGAAAACGAACAAGAAATACATATATTTTCTTCTTTCTTGAAATTACCATTTCAGCAAAGGATTTTCTATGATGCTTAAAAACTCTCCCTCTCTTTCTGCTCAGTAGTTGTAGCTATATGACCGTCTGATTTGTCTCTGTTTCTTTCTTTTTCTTTTTATCTCTCTCTCTCTGTTTTTTCCCTATCTAGTCCCTTCGTCTGTTTCTATCTGTTTGTTTGTCCTGACTCTGTCTCTCTTCTCTCTCTCTTTTCCTTCCCTATGTCCCTTCTCCCTTTTTATCTACTGTCTTCTGGCTTGTTTGTCATAATCTGTCTGTTTATATGTCTATCTGTCTGTCTGTTCTGATTCATCTCTCTCTCTCTTCTTGATATCTGGTCTCTCGTATCTAAACCCCCGCCTCTCTCTCTCTTTAGCTATTGCCTAACCGGAACTATTAATGATTTTGCCATCCATCCTTTCCATGAAACACCTTCCCAATTTATATTCATTTCCATTTTCAATTACCTCTTTCATGCGAGTGGGAAGATATTAACGGTTGGTCGGTCAAAGTTACAAACCCAATTTTCACTCGCTTTCACCAGCTCGTATCCTGTAAAAGATAATTTGTTGAGTTTTAGCATATGCTTTAGTTTTTATGCATGGCCTAGCATCATTGCTGTTCAGCCCAAAATGTTACTATTGATATAATGATTTTGGTGCTAGTGATACTAATAATGGCAATGGTAACGTGATTATTATCAACGAAAATGAGAGTGGTGATAGTGATCAGAGAAATAGTGTCACTCATAAGGATTATGGCAATAATAATAACAGTAACTATGGAAGGAAAAAGATAAAATGATAGCATGCAGCAATTATTGTAATTACTATTTTTTATCAATATTGTTACATAATGATGATAATAAATGCATAATATACATAATAATGATAACAATAATACCGATAGTAAAAAAGATTAAAAATAATGATAACAATAATAATAACAACAACAATAATAACAATATCTTGCTTACTCTACTCTCACCTATCCCCGTGTACCTCAAACGTATTCATGATGTACCCTGTACTCTACTGATAAGCTACCATTCACTTTTAGTCTACCCGAACATCTACTCTTTACTAAGAATCTGTTAATCTACTATACTTCTATTCTTATTCATTTACCCCGAGGGCAGATAGACAAGATAGAAAAAGACAGAGTACAATTAGACAGACTTATATATGTATATATATATATATAGTATATATATATTAAAAGTATATTAGCTACTATAATACCTATTATATATCTGTATATATCATATATGGTATATATATAATCTATCCGATGCAGCCGCCACGGAGCCTCGTGAATTTAGCACGGCACCAGAGTCGATAAACTTTCTAACCATTCCTTTAACCGCACGCATCACGCCATATCAGCGGTTCCATCCACGACGCTAAATCTCCATCTCCGCAGTCGCGCCGTCGTTCTTCACTCTGCGACCCTATTCGAGACCACGATATACTAGCCTATATAGCTAATTATATATTTATAATATATATATCATATAATATTAGTGACCCAATCAAGATCTCAAAAATTTGCAGGTGTTTTCATTAGCATATTAGCGATACTTCATGTACAGGGTTTAGTGCACGTCCAGGTCCCGTGGTGCTAGCGGTTAAAAAAGCGACACAGAGATAGGACACCGGAAAGAGAGAGAGAGAGAGGAGAGAGAGGAGAGATGAGAGAGGAGAGAGAGATAGAGATCGAAGAGAGAGAGGAGAGAGAGAGAGAGGCGACGAGAGAGAACGAGAGAGAGAGGAAGAGAGAAGAGAGAGAGAAAAGAGGAGGATGAGAAGAGAGAGAGAGGAGAGAGAGAGAGAGAGAGAGAGAGAGAGAGAGAGAGAGAGAGAGAGAGAGCCATGCTAAAACTCACAAGAACTTTCTCCGGTCTCCGCTGCTCTCTCTTCCTCGCACTAATCTTATCAGCCTTGTTGACGATTCTGCATTCGAAGTACCTCCGTGACGGCCCGGCTTCTTTGACCAACGCCCTCGTACTTACCGCGGCAAAACCCACGACTTTCCAACCGAGTCTCCGTCAGGATGAGAACGTCTCCTCCACCCGATCCTCTCCCACAAATCCACAATTCCACAAAGAAAGCGAAGTGGATAAACAGCAGCTTCAGATCAGCACAAACGCTTCTTCCACTACAGTTAACTTCGGGACAATTGTGGGACAAAGGTTCAAAGAGAGACGAGAACTTCTTGAAGAACAATGTTCAGCTCTCAGGGAAACCTTGCCAGACCAAGTTCGAAGAATTTTCATGAACGCTCTCTTCTTCGTGAAAAAATATAACTTCTTCACCTGCATTACTCCGAAGGTCAGTTATGATACATATAGATGAATAGGCAGAATTTTTTTTTTGTAGGTGTCTTAAAGGTGAAAAAATATTTTTCCTCATGTTAGGTAAATACGTAAAAAATACAATAATAATTTACATAGATTGACAGATAAATAAACAGATAGACAAACAGATAGGTAGATTTATATATATATATATATATACATATAATATACTATGTATATATATATATATATTATATAATATGTATATATATATATATATATATATATGTATATATATATATATATATATAGTATATATAGATAGACAGATAGATAGATAGAAGATAGAATAGATAGATAGAGATAGATAGATGAAAAGATAGAGAAAGAGAAAGAGAGAAAAGGAAAGACAGAGAGATAGATAGATAGTTTGAAGAATATAGATAGAGATGAAGGAAAATATCTTTCCTACTGCTATCAGTGGTGTATCTTTAATCTTTTCTGTATAAGGTAGTTTTCCAAACCACTTAAAACAACAAAATTACCAACAACATACACACACTTTATCACTAGACACGTTTGCCGATCCCTCTGCAGTATCCTAAATGATTTTGGTTACTTTCAGATTTGATATATTTACACATTCATATGAACTCGCTGCCATAAAACTTAAGTGTGAGCTTATTTCGTGATCGTATTATCTACCTCTCAGTTTTTTTATATATCCTTTTTGAATTTGAAATCTTTTGAATCTGAAAGTTATATATGATGATTGCCTTGATTATGACAATAACATGATAATAATGTTAAAAGAATAAAGACTATAATGATGATAGTAATGATGATAATGATAAGGATGATAATGTTAATAACAACGATAATAATAGCAATGATAATGATAATGATAAAATTAATAACGATAGTTGATAGAGATAGCAATATCAACAACAAGAGCGGCAATGGTAGTAGTGATAATAATAATAATATTAATAATGATAATAATATAGTAATTATCATAGTAATAATAATAACAATAATAATGGTAACACTAATAACAATAATAATGATAATAGTAATAGTAATAATAATAATAATAATAACATTAATAACAAAAATAGTAATAATGCTGATAATAATAATGATTATAATAAATATAATAATAATGATGATGATAATGATAACACTAATAACAATAATACTAATAATAATGATAATAACATTAATGATCATAGATATAATGATAATAATAATGAAATAATGATTTAATATGATGATAATGATAATGACAACAATGATGATACTGTTATTAATAATAAAAATCGTAACTATGACAATAATGATAATGATGATGATAATGAAGATAATAATAATAATATTGACAACAGCAATAATAATAATAATAATGATAACAACAACAACAACAATAATAATAATAGTAACAGCAATAGCAACAATGATGATGATAATAATGATATTGATGAAAACAATAATAATACCAATAATGACCATAACAATAAAGATAATAGCAATAATGATAATAATAATGATGAAGGCAATGATAATAATGATAATAATAACGTTAATATCAGTAATAATGACAATAATAATGATAATGGTAATAATGATAACACTAATGGGAATAATGATAATGATAATGGTGATGATATCAATGATGATTATGATATAAATGATAAAAATAATGATAATATTAAGGGTATTAATAATCACAATAATGATAATAATGATAGCTATAATAATAATGATAGTTATAATAACAGTGATATGATAATAATGGTAATCATAATAATGATACTAAAAATGATGATAATGGTGATGGTTATGGGGATCATAACATTAATGATGATAACAATAATGGTAATAGCAATAGCAATAATAATAAAAACAACAAAAATAATTGTGATCATAATAATGATAATCATAGTAATAACAATAATCATGATGATAATGATGATGATGATAATAATAATAAAAATAATGATGATGAAAAATAATAATAATGATAATGATGATGATGATGATAAATATAGTAATGATAATGATAATAATAATAATAATAATAATAATAATAATAATAATAATAATAATAATAATAATAATAATAATAATGACAGTAACAATACAATGAAAACAATAATATTGATAATAAATTTTTTTGTAATAATGATGATGATAATAATCATGATAATAATGATGATAATGATGAGGATGGTGATAATGGTTGTGATAATAAACGGTGATATTAATGATTATGATAAATAGTAGGACTCAGAGATGCGTTACCTCCGTCAAGGCAATAAGTTTACTGATGCAATAAAAATATTCACACTTGAAGAAGAACATGAGAGTACTCTGGTGGCGACCATGAACATAAATTCCTTGGCGGAGGAATTATAGGTAATGATAATATCAGCAATCAGTTAATATTAATAGTTAGTTACCCGTATTGTCAAGGCAGTTGGGGTAATTGAAGCAATCATTTAAACAAATCCTAGATCTATCTAAATTAAATGACAGCTAAGTTAGGTTAAAAATCTGTTCATAACGTTTTGAATTATCCTGCTAAGCAGCCAACCAACAAACTAATTAACCAACGCTACCAAAAACAGAACCTCCTTGGCGGAAGTAATGATATGAATAACAACAGTGACGTCTTGATGATGTCATACTTTCCTCTAGAGAACTACAGCTGATCGAGTAAAAGTTCATTCATTAGGCAATTATACGGATTAATAATTGAACGAGCTTTCATAATGACATGTGAACCTTTAGCACTTATTTGTTTGTATGTACCTTCTTCTTCTCAAGGGATTACGAATAAAAACACGAAGAGGCGTTATGAATATCAAAATGAGATTTATGAAGAAAATCATGATATAATTTCTTTTTAAAGTTCTAATCTGACTTTAGATTGGATAATCAACTCTCTCCATCTTAATCTCTCCCTGTCGTTCTCTCTTTCTCTTAATCTCTCTCCTTCCCTCTCCCTCTCTCTGTCTCTCCTTCACTCCTTCCCTCCGTCCCAGTGTCTCTTTCACTTCGTCCTTCCCTCCTTCTCTCTCTCTAAATCTCTCTCCATCCCTCCTCCTTCTCTCTCTACTTTCCCCGTCTCTCTCTCTCTTACAATTTATTTAAAACGTTTATATCATATTTATAATCATTACACATTATATGGTTAAAACATTTTTTCTACAAACTAAAGGTATTCATGTTTGGTGTCTCCTATCTTAAAGCCTAACCTCATATAATTTAACCCCGTATTCACGTACTATAAAAATTAGTGCACATATATTGCATAAAACCATCTGTTAGTGGTCTTTAGCTAAACATGTGCTTTGAATTAGAAAGTTTGTAAGGACTGAGCTTCAACTTCGATGTTACAAATGAGTAGATTCCATAATTTGAAATATCTGGAGAGAAAATATCATTGGTAGTGTGCCGTTCAACAACGAGGTCCGTGGGGCGAGCAGCTCGTCTTCCCGGCAGTCTCATTGGCTGCAGGTGCGGGACGTGTTGGCCATGAATGAGGAACATCGTCGTCAAGCAAGCTACGTCTCTCTTGTGTTGAAGGCTGTCGAGGCTCTGTTGATAATGTTGGGTCCTGTCTTCGATTATCTTCGTTTTCTTGCTCATCCCTACTCGAGGCAGGAGTACTCGAGTGAAGAACTCGATTTGTACCTTGTAAAAGAACTTCTTCCCTTCACTGTCCAACAGCCAGCTGATTCTTTTCAGAGATGTGAGTTTCTGCGAAGCCCCTACCGCTGCCTATAACTTTTAAATGATTTTTTAGTCGAATGTAGTGCCCAATGTTTCAATTTCCTCTGTCTTATTTTTTAAATCAGTTTATCCAAGATATCGTTCTTAGAGTTCTCGACAACCATAAGCTGGGTTTTATTTTGGACAAAGGAGAGCTGCCATTCCTCCTCCAAAATCGAACTTTGTGCGTCTGTCACTGAGAGTAACTGAGGTCCTAATATGCTTCCTTAAGGGATACCTGCTTTGATGTTGTTGTAAACAGTGTGTTTTCCATTGGATACTCTTTGTTTGTCGAGGAGATATATATTTTTTCAATTGGGCTAGGAGTTCGCCATCCACTTCATATGATTTTCACTTGTTTAACAAACCTTGGTGCCATTTTCTATCAAAGGCTCCCTCTGTGTCCAAGACAAGGACACAAGTACGCTGTCCGCGGTCAAGTGCTCCTGACAAGTCTGTAGTCATCTGAAACTGCAGGTCGGCAGCAGAACGTTTTTTTCCGGGAGCCATGTTGCCGGGTAATCGAGGTGTTTTGTTAGATTAGAAAAAAAATCAAGTATCCTAATAAATGACAGCAAAAAATTGGTCGGTAAATTTTTGGACTGGATTTGTCCCTTTCTATGCATGGGGTAAGATTAATTTGATTCTAAAGTGTAAGCCATTTGCAGGAGCTTAAGCATATGTTGAAAATTATAGTGTGAGGAGATGCCAGTCCCTGTGCACACTTCTTAAGCAGCTGAGGGGTAATTCCATCAGGTCTGTAGCTTTTCTCGTGTTTACATGCGTAGGAGTTTCTCCGCTTCAGTCTTTTTCATTGCTCATGAGAAGGGGTTTAATGCTCAGGGTATGGAACTGTCATTTTACTTGAGAAGGGCCTTGCCAGGAAATCTGTCTTTTCTCCTAAGTTTAGTGACAGTCTATAGGCTTTTGTTATTAAGGGTGGGATAGTTTTATCCTTTGTGATGCCTTGCTTGTCTTTGACAATATTCCATTTTTTCGGTCCTGCTTTTCCCTTTTTATTTAAATTTTTATTCATTTATTTATTTATTTTTTTTTTTAGTTTTCTCGCATTCCTGAATGCCCCTGAGTACATTCCTGAGTACATCACATTTGTTGCACACACTGTGTATGAAGTTACTTATTTCTATTTGTAGGATTTCATGCCTTGCCATGTTTGATGCTTGATTCCCGATAGACTTTTGCACTGAATTCCAAATCGTGGTTGATCAGAGGGCTTCGATGAGAGGTTGCAGTGGGTTATAATGCAAACTGCAGCTTCATCAAAATAGAGGTGGAGGAATTTACTTTCTCATCTATGTTGCCCTGGATTTCATCATCCCATTTTATGCGAGAGCCTCTCTGAATCCTGTCCTGTTTGCTTTTTCCCACATCGTTCCCATCTTAGTCTCCTCCCTAAGTGTTCTTAAGATAATCTTTATTGGCAGTTCCGTGGTAAGCCGTCCCAACATACCCAGGTGGAGCACACTTTACCGATTGGGAACGCAGATCAGTGGCAACTCGGTCAAGTGACGACCCAGAGCGACGTGGAAAATCAAGTTCTTTAGGTCCTGGGCGCCCATTCGCCCATCGGAAGCGGGTTGTACTTTGTGCTGATTTAGGTCTCCAAATAATAGACAGCGATGGGATTGCAGGTGGTCATAAGCTGCTCTCTCTGTTCTCTGTCTCTGTCTGTTTCTCTCTCTCTCTCTCTCTCTCTCTCTCTCTCTCTCTCTCTCTCTCTCTCTCTCTCTCTCTCTCACCCTACTCAA